AGCATTCACGCCACGGACTTCTATTCTGGGTCATATCTCTTAGCGTCTCTAACCAACTGCAACCGTAAAGTAGATCATTACGAACCGCGGTGATGCACACCCTTCCCTTAAGGGACACTCGGATGCCATGGCGGCGCCACAGGTGTCGCTATTTGTGATGTGGTATCTCCGACACCATCAAGAGCTGCGATCAAGCTCCCGAGGTACTTAAGACCTCAACTACTTCTAGAAGATCACCACAGAGAGTGAGCGGTAGCATAGGCTTCTAACAGCCTAGAACAAGCACTAAGCACTTTTATGGTGCAAGTTACATCCTATACCTGGATACCTCAATCGCCAAGCGGTTCAAAACGCCTTGGATTGCCTGTGTGTTCTCACCCAGAAAGGCGATTTTATCGGCATATTCTAAGTGAAGGACTCTGATCCCCGGGGGGAGTTTGACTACACCGTTTGCTAGACCGGATAAAGCATTTTGTAGAACACCCTTTATGATAAAGTTGAAAAGGAATGGGGATATAAGGCAATTTTTTGGACTCCACTGGAAACGGCGAAGGGTGATGAAAGCTGGCCATAGGCCCTAACCCGAACTGAGGAATGACGATACACCTCTTTAGGGATTGATACATAATTCTCATGTACTCCATTCATCAACAAACAGTTCCATGGTGCGGTCCTATCAACAGAGTGGGAGGTCGTACTGATGTCTAAGAATACGATGATCGTTGACCTTTGGTAAGCATAACTGTGCTCTAGCAGCTGTCGGACGGTAAAGATTTGATCGATGCATCCACGACCAGCACGAAACCCAGCCTGCTACTCGCAGGTCTGCTCCTCACGCATAGTGTACGTTCGGCGGAGAATGACGGACGACAACAACTTTGTCGCTATTGGAACAATGCTCACACCCCTAAGGTTGGCGAATTCACTGCGCAGACCCATTTTAAAGATTGGGATGACAACTGATTCCCCCCACAAGAAGAGGACCTGCTCAGTGTACCAGTCTTCAGAGAACAGAGCCACCAATTCTCTAACAAATGTTATTCCACCATCTTTAAATAGAGCAGGGGGGAGGCCATCGAAGCCTGACGCTTTGTGACGTCCCAAGGCTTGAATCTCCTTACGAATTTCCGTCTGAGAAAATAGGTCTGTTGTGACAGACCATGGGAAGTATGTCGGAATAGCTATGTGAGCAGCCGACGTTGGTGGCCAGCTAAATTGTGCCTCAAAGTGATCCGCTCAGCGTGCAAGACTTCGCTGTTGATTATAAATGGGCGAACCGTCAGTTTAGCAAATCGTTTCACTCACACTCAAGGCTTTCCTACCGGTGACCCGGCTTATGGGAATTACCCATGGCGGCAGCACATTCCATCTATGATGCGCGTTGAGACCAGCAAATCTCGCGGTCTTTGCGTAGGCTTGGATTAAGTTCACGTCTTGTTGCTAGTCGTGTTTCGTCATACTAGCCGTCGGTCGGAAGTGACAGACGTGCGTCAAGAAAGCATAGAGACACCTTAGAGATCCAGGGTCTCACGGCACGATGAGTCAGACTACAGCTAAGTAAGCCAGCGGGATGCAGAGCATTCTTGATAAGAGACCAGTGCTGCTTAACGTCTTCTGGTGAGATTGGTTCTATCTTTTCAGTTAGCGCGTTCCGAAAGAGCTAAGCGTGTCGGTTTGGACAACTTATTGCAGTCTAACCGTCGTTGTGTCGCGCGTTTGGAACGCCGAAGCACACGGACTGACTGGCGCATACTAATGCGTGGTCCGAATCGAGGTGAGTGCTCCAGTACGATCGACAGTCTTGAATGCAGCCGCGCCATTCTTAGCTTATGGCGACGTTGTCGACCTGCGTCCGTCGTTGACTCAAGGAAGGCGGACGCCAATTGCCGTACCGACAGTTGGAGCATCTGAAGTCAACCGGCCTACAATAGTATTCATATCTCCTGCTTAACTCACGATATCAGCCGGATTCGCCTTACGCAATCGATAGCCACATATGCACTTTTAATTAAGTTAGACTTCGTGTGTGTGTGGGGGGCGCATTGTATCACCCAACCACCCTTCAATACTGAGCTGTTCACGGTGAGGGATTTTTTGATCACTAGACTGCAGCCCTAATGTATGTGACACCTACAACTGATGGCCTCGATTCAGCTACCGAATAGAGTGCTTAGGAATGTATCTTTTACTTTACTGCGCTGACAAGTCACTAATAAAGGAAGTTAGCTACATACTGTATTCCTCCTACCTAAGAGAATACTTCAGTGTTTATTTTTGATTGTACGAATCAATGGACTGCGCTAAGATCGAATCAGAGGAATTACAGAAATGAAGTGGCAGTGACACTCATTTTATCAAAGGACAGCTATTTTATTTTCATACATAAGCACACTAGTACATGCCTATGCAGTACTCATGTAACATTATCTAATAACACCTTGCACGTCGGACACCGCTTAAAGTTGATGCAACAGAAGATCCTAGAGTATCAGGCTTGGATTAACCCATTGCATTGTTCAGAGACACCAGGTACTGTTGATCATCTTCGGTGTGTTTCACTCCTTGGGAGATCGTTAATTCCCCACGAGGTAATGCATTCAAATGTGATGGAAATCTTTGTGATAATCGACAAAGAGCATTGGACAGCCGTTTCATCTGTTTGGGACTCATCACCAGTGCGTACTTTTTGTGTCCCTTTCTGGACTCGAATCGTGAACATTCGGGTTGGGACTTCAAACCCTTACCCCTGTGCTACACGGTCGACAGTCGTCACCTTGTGCGAACTGCATCCATACTAATGCATGGCCAGACCCAACGCCGGTGGCCCAATCAGACCCGCAATTTTGCACTGAGCCACGCCAACTGTAGCCTACTGTTATGTGGCTGATTTGAGTTAGCGTGCCAGTTCAACTAGAGCGTCACGTTGCCGTCCGCGGAGAGCTGTGTTTGAAATTCGTACCTAACAGGAGCAGACAGTGGTCTGCGCTGAAGAAGTCATAAGTCGTGATATTTGTTCGCTGGCGAAGTGGAGAACAACTACCACCTAGGCAATTTTCTGATGCACTCAGATCTGCATTTTGTATGCATTTACCTCGTGGGAAAGTAAGGATCTTCGAAAAAGTGAAACCAACACCCAAGATCATCAAGAGCGCTTTGTGCCTCTGAACAACCGAATGGGCTAATCTAAGCTTAATATTGTAAATTGATTGAGCCGTTTGCACAAGATGATGACAATCGACCGTTAGCTCAGGGGTAGCAGTTTGAAGTCCCAACCCGAATGTTCAAGATTTGCGGTCCTGACGGGGACACAAAAATTAGGCACAGCTGACGAGTCCCAAACAGGACGAAACAGCTGTCCCGTGCTCTTTGTCGATTATTACTAACGGAAGATTCTGTTTTTTATTGTGATTTGCACACCAAAGTATGCCCAACTAGGGACTCCTCTATCATAAATGTTTATGCTCCTACCGTAGGTTTTCTAAGTTACATCTCGATTCACTACTGAAACATTGAATTTGCGTACTATACACGTTATTTAGACAACCATGCGAAACTATATCTACATTTTTCCCGGCACCCTTTGTTTGGCCGCAGCCCCCTTCCTGAAAGTTGGCTGTCTATTTGTATATTTAGGAAATAAAAGAGGAAGTAAAAAGACATTAATTTATATTTTTTACCACGTAAAAGCCCTGCGGATAATGATACACTCCATCATTATGTATTGGCCCTCATAGATTTTTTACTTTGGTCTCTAAAATAACTCTCTTGTTAGGTGGCTAGTGTGGAAGAAAACTTCATTAAGTGCATCTTGTTTAACACTCACCGGAAGCATAGTTGTTTTTGATAAGACATATTTTTGGCTCTCAGCATTAAGGCCCATAAAGGCTTTTTGTGTAACTGTCAATATCTGTAACCTATATTTATCATGTTGAGACAGATATACTAATCCAAACTTTGTTTCGTCAAAACTATTCAAGATGGTCTTCAGTTTAGAGACAGAGCCGCCAAAAGGTGGACACATTATCCTTCTTATCTCGTTACATGACTCAAGTCAGCGTTATACCAGTTGTACGTTGTCATGCAGGGATTTACTGCACGGCGAGTTGCACGACAAGTTACATCTGAATTTTTGACCTTTGTGACGGTGAATTTTCTAGAACCCATCTCAAGATATAGCTTTCAAGCAATTTTGAATAGATTCGAAAATTTAGTACGTACGCTACTGGTAGGCAGTTTCGTTATCCCCGGCTCAATAAAACTTATGCTTCTATGTGATTCGCCATTCCAAATCTCGGGATTAGGTTGCCAGTTTCTACGAGCGAACAGTAACTCTTTGTGACCAAGGGGTTTACCCGCGCTGCTGTCTATCACTGAGTGGCCCATTACGGGCAAAATACAAAAATCAATCAATCATGATAATGTGAATGGTTATTAAAATGTGAAAAGTTTCAAAAGCGAAATATGGGGCTATTGGTCGTCTTAGCCGTGGACAAACACAAGAATATAATTTACCGGAAACGATCCAGATCCGACTTGTTTGCCACCAGAATCACGGTGGGCGGTTTGATATTCGAAGATCCGTACACGGCGGAACGTCTCAATGATCCACTATTGCCAGGTCCAATGGGTGATAGGGGAGATGTGGCCGTACTGGAACCCGGAGTAGCATGCATTGACTGTCGTTGTGGGGACAGGGTGGAAGCACGACCGGAGACTGTGCAAGTCTGTTTCAGTGTTTCGATCAGCTCCTGAGCGCGATAGAAACTACGACGACTTGTGATGGAGAAAAGGACAATGATTGCTTGGGACCACTTGAGTATGTCATCCATATCCATGTCATCCTATCGATGATCACAACGGCAAAATGAAATATGAAAAGATAGATCATGCCATCATTCGTATGGTTGAATCTTGTAGTACACCAAATGCGCTTGATGATCACAAACTGGCATCAGTCTTTGTTTTCACAATCAAAATTGTATAAAAAGGACGACACAAAACATACACGATCTGCATTAAATTTGGCGACTTAGATGTAAAACATCTATATAACCGCGTATGTAATTCCGCAAGTCAATATTTTTTGGATCAGTAGACCGAAGTTCGTAGATAAATTTGCCAATTACTTCATTACATGGTACAGTATAGAGAGCAAAAGATGTGTGAACTTAAAAGTTGCAACGCACTGTACCGTTGTGTCAATCTTATTGAATAGTGAAAAGATCAATGCTATCGGTGTGGCCTCGTAGATCAGCTGCTAGAGCGTGCGCCTAGAAAGCGTAGGCNAGAGCGTGCGCCTAGAAAGCGTAGGCGGCGTCCATGCGTGGGTTCGAATCCCACCGAGGTTACTGAACTTTACACAGTCACTATACAAACTTCAGATCTGCCAAACATCCATTTGCACAATTATTGAGTATCATCATCAATGCCAATCCACTGGTAAAACTGAGGACTCAACAAGGAACCGCACAAATGAAAGTAAATGAACTGTTCATTTTTTAACTGATTGAATCCATTGGACGCACTTCTATTGCTACGGAAATATCTGCACCAGTGATGCGTAGATTTTGCTTGTTTTCATACAGTCAGTTGATATCCAAGTGGTACGCACACACGTTAGCTGAACCAGACCACAAATTTTAAAAATGAACATTTCGTTCGAAGAAGGACAACTGAAAATGTCATTCCTACAGATAAAATAAATCACGCTTATGGATGGCAGTCGATCTACTGTCCCCAGTGGTCCCAAAAGCCCATTAATCCCTGTTTTGGTACACCCCGTACGGTGCTAACCGCTAAAAGGGTTGAACATCACAATCACAATGTCCTGAGCCCTGCACTCTTTAGTAACCGACCCAATAAGGCACCAACAGGTTAGTGCGTTTATGAGCCTGGTGAAGCTGTCCAATATTTCGGAGTGTTTCGATCCTACAGTTGCACATACGAAATGCTGGACACAAATCATACAATTAGTCGAAGATGGCCCTCATCATTCTGCACGAATTCGATCCGACAACAAATAAGAATATCAGCACTCTGTTGCCCTGACTATAGTATTTGGATGTTGTGGGTTTTGTGACATTCCTTTGAACAAAGGCCTGGTGTTATATATACACAATTCTGTCGATGGCTTATGAATATCCACCCCTAACGGGTTAATTCGTAAGCTGCAGACCGGCCTGCATCCGTCAGAGGTTAGGATTCTAAGAGAGTCCCCGAAAGCCTCAAATGGTCAAGAATGGGGTTGTCGGATTGAGGCTGATCATCCTTACACCTTGAAAAATGTGCCTATACCGCCAAGTGCCCCAAGCAGCCTTTGCTGAGGAAGTCCTGCCCACTGCCTTCCCACCACCAAAGTAAGAGGACGAAAAGTCAACACCCGAGGCCATAACCGTGTGGGTAAATCACGGGCAGTTCACCTAGTGGAGTTCGCCAAAAACCGTGATTCCAGACCAACCAAGAATAGGTTTACGAACCACACACCTTTCTACTTGTGTCAGTGGTCACCAGCTCGATTGGGCACCTTGGATGTTTGACCCCAGCCAAAGGGTGCATGGTTAGAATGCCTGAACATTGGTGCCCAATTGAATATGGTTTTCGCAAATGGCCCTGTTGCTTTGTGGGTCAATCTTTGGCTAGTCGAAGGCTGCGGTTATCGATCTCCCGAAAAAATTCACCTGCTTTGGCCTGAGTAACCTGGCGGTATTACACTCACAAGAAAATCGTGGAACTTTTGCTTTGATGAAGATCATTGGACAGTGGTTAGTTTGCCACAGTCTGGACATGCAGGTGTATGAAAATATGAATGAATATGGAGCAGTGAGAACAGGAACTTGAACCTTCCTCAGGATTTCGTGATGACGATGATCTAGCTTCGAAACACCGAGCATAATTGTCATTGCAAACTAAAGATGTAAATTGCAGCCCATTATGAAATGAGTAATTCCATCTGCTAGTGGAACTGAACCACCGTTAGTTGATCTGTTGCTCTGGTTCGCGAAATAACCAGTCGAGGAAGGAGGATATTCTGTTGTGAATTTTTACGTGGTAATTCTACATTGTACACTATTTTTTCTGAAAAATAATTGCATTTTGTGCAGTGTACGTTTTCGACGACAATACACGGAAAGCGTACAAACTATAACACTACTCACACATTCCGAATGAAATCACAGTTAAATATTCATTAGTGTAATGCATCAATCCCGTTGATTGGCAATGGGCTTGATGATTTTATTTGCAGTGGATTGAGTGAATACGAAACTCACACTGTCCGATGTATCCTGGATATTCATAGTTACATCTTGTCCATCGATCGAATCGGTTTTCGTGTAACTGTCGCCTTTCAGTCGAACAAAGGGATGGAAAATGCTTGTGGTGCAGAGAGTTATTTTCATCAACCAATGCATTATAAATATAAATTAACCAAAACCGGTACTAATTATTCCTCATAAAAAAGATTTACCGGCCGATAATAATCCTCGTTCTGCAAGGAGTGCATACTATATGTACGTCTTTAGCGTTTCCATCGGCATCCGGATTCGTGCTCCGAGAATGCGTAAACACAGTTCACTGTTTCAACTAGTAGAACCTTATTAAACAGACAGATATTATATACCTATTATACCTCATTCTCTTCAATATTTATCTTTTGAATGGTTTCTACAAATTGAACATGTTCGCACAAACTGAGCTTCAGGGTTTCCAACAGCCTCTGTGTTGTAACCTGGGAGGAGGAGGAAACGATATAATGAGTCAATAAAGAGATCGGACGGAGGTTATTCCGGTTTCTGAACCTTTATTAGTCCTATAATGCGGTACTGTTAACATTGTGGGTTCGGGCCATTGTAATAAAATCCATGTCGGCCGAAAATGGTTCCAAACAAGAATTATATGTACTCCATGTTTGTCTGAGAAAACTTGCTGTGAAACGTGATTTTAACAGTTTTAGAAGCGTTCGCTCATGAACAAGAAATGTATCTACTTGGTTATGCTTCGGAAACCACGAGAGACTTAAGTATGGAGATGGTCGACTCAGTTTTTCTCCACTCTCTATCCTTCTTAATTTATTTTATTATCAGTTCCATAATCTCGTATGTAAAATCTAACAACCTTAGATTGAAAATGGAATTCGGTAGTCAAAATCAAATCACGGGTATGTGAATAACAATTTGCCAATATGCAATTAGTGTCTAGGAAAAAGAGTGAATGTTAAACAGCGTTGGTGATACTCGTACCCACAACAAAGGGCTGGTGTTATTCGAGGTAGAATTACCGCATTAAAGTGGCACAAGACTTCCTACCAAATCTTTCTGTGGGAATATCGAGAACGTTTTTGTTATTGCTGTTGGGTAGTGGAAAGACACAGTGAGGATACAACAAAATGAAGTCTTAAGCATACTGCTGGAGGAGAAAGTACAAATTTTTCTGACAAAAGCCGATACACGCACATTCAGTCTGGAACTTATGTCGACTCCAACACATGACTTGCTCCCTAACTCAGGAGATTCAAGTGCATACAACAGTCAAGGTTAGATGGAGTTGAGTTATCTACCACGAAATGCAAATCTTGTTCGATGTTAGCAAGTGTGTAACATGAGAGGGCAATGGTGGCAGGTGGTAACGACACCACATTATCACCCCGGGGATGTTTGTTCGAATCCCACCACCACCGCCTGACTTTCCCCAGTGCGTGTTGAATGACAGCACCTTGATTGGCCGCTTCCCCCTTCCTGAAAATTGTATTATTTTAAATTCAATAAAAGAAAGGAAAAGGAAAAAGAAAGAAAGCCCATGCGTTTCTCAAAGTATTTTCCCTTGACGGACTGGCAACACACCAGGCACTTAGGAATGTTAACGTTTTGAGTAAGAAACTGCTGTTGTATTCTGATGAACGACTTTTCACCACAATCCGCTTTGGACACCTATCGCGGTGTTCTTTCTATCTACCAAGAACGTTGTTGTAAAACCAAATCACTGGGTTCTGTCGCTGATGTTGTATGGATTCGTGATCGAACTGCGTGATTTGACTTCGGCTACCATGTGTTTATTTACCAGATAAACACATCATACGGGTAGACTTAATATCCCAGCCTGGAGGTGGGAGGCAAAATCTATTTGACACCACTCGCAGATTACATAGCAATTTATTGCGTGATCACTTCTACTTCTACTCGTTTTAATACACCGAAAATCACTCTTGCTTCAAAGTTCACAATCTCCCTTGAATCCACCAACTGCCTCTCACCCACACACGCTCATTTTTAGATTGGGGGTTACCGTCTAATTCTGCCGGTTTTGTATGCCCCTATATATCTGAATGACCTGTATTGAGTATGGTACATCGGAACCCCCATTTCCGTGCTCCACCCGTAGACAATAATTTCTGTCATCCGGTGTCGTTTAGATGCGAGGATGACATTCACTGCTGTGCGGTGTATAACCGCATGGGACAGTTCATGCGATTGGACACAACTCATGCCGATTAGGTCCAAACCAATACAATGTCGTTTGAGCTGACCTGGGATAGACAACGCCCACTCCCGACCGTCTGTTCCACTCGTCCCATTGCCAGAACAGTGAGATGTGCTGAACCTCCCCCGTAAAGCTACTTGCTTTATCATACAGTGAATATCTGTCCCTTCTGTCGACCAAGTGAAGTGGAACAAAGCCCGATGTGTGATCGGATCGATTCGGCTTTGTTTCCCTGGGGTAAATTTTATTCTTCACAGCATTTTCCATAAACCAACAGTGCATAAAAATCAAATCCAATAAAAGATGATCTGAAACATTTGGATCCCGCAATGAATTTGAACAGGCAAGTCAGAAGACAAACACTGCGAGAGGAATTCCTTTCGTATACTCTCATCGGTCGCGTACGCACACACACATACACACACATGGGTAATACTAACTAGATTTCTTAATTCGCTTCATTTGTCTATCTTGTTCGATGTTATACGTAAATGAGAGTATACGAGAGGAATTCCTCTCGCAGTGTTTGTCTTCTGACTTGCCTGTTCAAAAGATTATCTATTAAATATCTATGAGAGAAAATGTTTAATTGCAAGTGTGAACTCACATTTCGTGCATTGACTAGTAAAACAGTACAAGATATCTCCATTTTGCATTGTCTGATGACTAGCTCATTCGGATCAAATCGGTCCGGCACCATGGGATAGCGGCACAGTAATCAAACTTGATTAAAAACCATATGACAGTTATCCGATTACCGAAAACACAAGTTCACGTTTCAGGAGGTGAATATTGCTGGTGAGGAAAGAAAGAGGCTATTCTGGAACTGTCCTTTTCAATCAGCTCCAGCATTTTAAACCCCAATCATCTGGGCTGGGTTGGGCTGGGCTGGACTTGAACCTCGGACTTGTTCACTGTTTCTACCTATTCCATTTCGTTGTTTCGATACATCTAGTGGAAAAATTATTTCTCTGTATTTCATCGGCACCATCAAAATTATCCATGCCCCCGTGTCCCGGCAATCTAAATGTTAGGTTTTTGTGAACTGTTGATCATCAAACAGCAAAACTGAGCATTTGTTCTCATTCACAGAAACTGGTGTCGAAAAATCAAGGTGAATGAGGGACAATTTATTTGATTAATTGATTACAACTGACCAGCCTTCAGACCTCACCTTCACGCACATTCCTCAGCTCTTCCAGTCAACCGTACACTGGAGTTAACGGATGGTCAAGTGTGTCTCTCTTCGTTACTATTGGTTCAAATTGAACTGACTGACTATCTCTAACAACGGCACTTGAACAAACATGAATTGACGTTTCGGTGCAGCCCTTGCATGAGCTGTTTGGGACAGTGGTAACGCACACGCCTTCCATGTGATGGGTCCGGAGTTCAAATCCCGGACGGGAGGGTGGACATGCACCACTGATGAGCTCTAATAAGAGCGAAACTCGATTCTAGTGCTTCGCAGTGTAGGGTTGACTGGAAGACCTAAGAAATGTGCGTGAAGGTGAAGTCTGAAGGATGGTCAGTTCTAATCAATCAATGAATAACAATTATCCCACAAGACTACTCACAAGCAATTGTGACATCCTCAAATTTTATGGACTCAGGAGTGGAAACCGAAGACACGAACAGATTTCGCTGCAGCCGTTTCGTGTTGGTGTCTGTTAACTGTCGTGTAACGCATACCACTTATCCTCGGTTCATATTTCACTAGACGCTTCCAGCACACATCTGATCACAACCATTTATTTATTACACACAAACAATTAATATCTTGGTATCTCGGCGAACGTGTAGTCAGGCCAAAATGGTTTCAAGGTTATCGTTCTGCACAAGTGAATGAAGCTAACAACGGTAATTAGAAGAATAAAAAGGTGTAAACGTCAACATCTTGAAGGATCATTTATTAGTGTGACCCGCCTACCGGATACAGCTTTAACTCTGTCTTATCAAAATGATGTATTCGGATGAAAAATTGTTTTTCTTTCGGTTTTATCGTACTACTAATGGTATCTCGTTAGTGGATCATTACACCGTGGAGGCAGTTGCTCGTTTAAACTAAAAATGTCAATACTAGCTCTTTTTCTTTGTATCTTAATGTCACGGACTACAACTTTAAGACTTAATCTGACCAAAGCGTATGCATCGCTTGAGGACGCACTGTTACGTGACTGGATTGTGTGGTACGTTTATGTATTTATATGGGACGAATTTTAGGCGACGGAAAAAAGCGAATGGAGATGGGGTAGATGCTTTGGTTAGTTCTGTTCACTTCAGAGTATCCCCCACTTTTTGACAAACCGGCAGTCCTCGGTCACCTTACTGCTTTTTATATTTTTCCGTAACAATTTTTATGAGATCCGACTGAGAGAGACATTATGAAATTGAACCTGCTGTAACTGACAGATTCTTAATGTTCTAAAACAGTAGCAACGGTGGTTGTCCGAAAAATAACTGCAAAAATAGAACACTTTGTTGGTTAAATTGTTTTACTTGAATTGTAAGTTCACTGTGCTGACACAACAGCATCCAGTGTTTAATCGCATTTATACCTACCATTTATGCAACCTTCGGGAATCTGCCGGGATATGATGTTAACAAGATTTGCGCGCTATGCCGGTGAGAATGGAACTGTCCACAATATTTTAGACTCAATGAGGTGATGCGTATTTAAAAAAAAACTAAATTGCTTGATAAAATACCATTACTTGTCCTCCGACCGCAATATTTAACTGGCCAAATTAGGCATTAGCTTGTGTCAGTGGAATAAAATAGACAGATTTGTTTTAATTGTTCAACAAATTTACTAAATACCGATAGATATTGGAGGTATTTCAAATTAGCTACGCGTCTCTGCCGTCGCCCGGTTAACTACCACACCTGATCTATTGAAGCCGTATGTGATCCGCTACTCCAAGTTTGAAAATCATAGTAGCCGGTTTTGTTCGCACAATATAAACATGACAGTAGGAAATGACAGACACTCACGTTTTCTCGGTCGCTCTACAAACTCGCATTGGAAACAGGCACTCATCACCCTCAACAGCATTCGCAGACTGAACAGCAATACTGATTCTGTATATCCAATTTCTCCGTTCTTCTTCTCGTCCAGTTCTTTTCTGACCGAAACACGAATCTCCCCCGCGTCAGACACCACCCACCTTCGA